TACAGTATTCTCTCTCTCTCTGAGTAATATTTTATTGTTAGTTTCTTTTCTGCTGTAAAATCCATTCAGCCTGTGGTATTATTAGTAATTCTATTGCTGATCTCAAAACAAGTAAAAGTGGAAATTGATTACTTATTATAATTGCATTGTAGCAACATCCAGCTTGGGCATTAGTCCTGGAAGTTAACATTAATTGACCTTGTACATTAGATGGGCTAGTATTTAGTTTATTGAATGCTATAGTAGAAATTAATATCTTAGACAAATAAATAATTTTCCTGAGCATTGTTTGCCTAAACACCCAAGCCATATGCTAGAAAAATAAACAGAAAACAGTGTCTTATTAGTTTCCACTAAATAATTGCATTAGACTTAGTACTCAGTCATGACCAAGTTGTTTCCCAATTAATTCATGTGATTTTAGGGTAATGAACAATGGAATGCTGTATAAACTTTCTAGAAACAAGTCCTATCAAAAGTTGGTTTTACATTTGAATAGACATCAGTAGTATTACACTGTTAATTGAATGAGCTGTCTAGGTAAAATCCCACACCATTACAGGTGAATAGTAGAATAATTCATAGACAAGGAAAACAGCCAGTATTTAATGCCCTGTTTATTGATAAGATCTGTGATTTAATTGGTCATAAAACTAAGCTATAATAGTAAACCTTAAAAATACAGATCTACATTTTCAGATAAAACACTTCTAAAGTGGCATTCTATACGATATCTTCTATTTCCATGCTTAACGGTTTGTGAAAATAAGACTTGAAACTAAAATGGCATCCAATTTGATCTAAGAAAATCAAAACTAGCCTAAATCACAGTCATTCACAAACTCTGAATCCCAAGAAAAAATTATAACTTATTTGCATCTACCCTTGTATTTTATTTTGGGAGGCAAGTGACATGTCTTTCTAACTCACTAGGTTGCCTTATGTAGAGTGTTAACCATGAAGTAGTAAGTATAGGATCAAAGGAGTACACTTGTTGCTCAATATTTGCAGCTTTGACTTTGTGGATTTGATTATTCACAGATTTTATTAATATGTTCTCTCAACTTTAACCAGAAGTCGCACTGAAGGACTTAGAGTTTCCTAGAGATAACATCCACTAGGCATTTGTAGCTCCTCCA